CTGTGTTAGTTTCATGAGATGCAAACGTTTGTGTGGTCATGTATACCACATCGATACTACCGAGTTAGCTATGGTATCACATACACACATGTCCAACACTCGTACGGTATCGTCGCCCCTCTCGTAGTTCGAGTTGGCGTCCATTTTTTTTTAAATGCCGGTAGCTGTTTGCGCCATGATTGGTAAGCCGTGTGATTTCGGGAGGTGACGTTCCAAAAACGTAAGCGGTTATTGGGAGTTGTGCTGGGCTATCCAACGCGCACGCTTGAAAAAGGGGTTTTCGGAAGTTCGTAATGTAAAATCTCATATGAAAAATTCGCCATACATTTTCCCCCTACAATGAGGGGATTAGACAGGCGCACCAGCTGGAAACCAATCGCTGTTGGTTCACATTTTACAGCGACCCGTGTTTCATCGTATGGTCACACGATGTCCGTGAGGTACTTGTCGTTCTTGATGATTGATTTGGGGGGTTTAACGTCCCAAAACCACCTAACGATTACGAGAGACGCCGTATAGTGGAGGGCTCCGGAAATTTCGACCACCCGGGGTTCTTTAACGTGCACCCAAATCTGAGCACACGGGCCTACAACGTTTCCGCCTCCATCGGAAATGCAGCCGCCGCAGCCGGGATTCGAACCCACGACCTGCGGGTCAGCAGCCGAGTACCTTAGCCACTAGACCACCATGGCGGGGCAGACTTGTCGTTCTGAAAGAGCGTGTCAGCAGCTGCATCGCAACAGCATTCGTGTGTGGGTAGCGGTCATTTCTCGTGTCATCCGTTTAGTTCGCATTCATTTTGTGTGATAACTGTTTATACTTCAATTATAAACTACAAATAGCGTTCCATGTGCTTCCCATGGTTTCTGTAATGGTTGGCTCCATTAGGTTGTGTCTCCGTGCCAGTAATTGTCTTTTTGTATTATTTGCCTCCATTGGTGAAAATTGCCAGAAAAAACAACAAACAAACAAAAGAAGCGTGCGCAACGTGAGCTGTGTTGTTCACAGAGCTGATGCATTTTTTTTTATAGCCGTGTGCATTGCACGCGTGGTATTTGCTTAGGATATTGGACTTTTAGTTTGTATGTCATGGATGGTCATCTGTCAAAAACGTGCTAGCTTTTCATCATTTCATCTTTCTTTCTATCTCTCTCTCTCTTTATCTAGGCTCTCTCTCTATCCCTCTTTACCTAGGTAGAGAGAGAGAGAGCTCATTCCATATGGTGCTCTCGAGGATAGTGAACGCTCCAAAAATATTTATGTGGCTCGGTTCATACAGCTGCATAAACTGAAATTACCACATCGGAAATGTGGAATGGTCTGCAGACTTCCATAAAGCGAGAGACTGGCTCTCAATAAAAGCGGTTACTAATCCCCCCACTGCTCTCCCGTTATTACATTCGTCCAAGAGCTGCAGGGGTTGCATCCTGCCTTTTTGTCTAACGAGACACCCATTAAGATTCACCGACGTAATAGCCGTCGTGCAATTTTGATGTCCATGTGTGCTTACGATGACGCATGCAAGATAGACGTGCATCTCTGCGGCAATGCACAGAGACATGTGCCCACCTGTGTTTTTATAACGCAGTGCGAAGCGATCGCAGGTTGCTGCATTTTCTTTCTTCTCTTTTTGCGATGGGCTAGTGCAAAAGCCGTTCTTTTTTTTTTTTTTTTTTAAGCAAGCCTTATACCGTGTTTTGGAAGGCCGAGTGTGGTGTCAGTGTTGCTAGATCGGTCTCGCAAACAATGTGTTTTTCGGCAAAAATTTTCCTTTATTTATTGATTTATTCTCTTATTTACTCATTATCTCACACATCAGGTTTATTGCAGGCCACGGCTCGAAAATCGGCGGCGGACGTCGAAGATGAAGAAGAGTATGAAGAGACCGCGTGCTCGTTCATGATGAGGATCATTTCTGTTTTCGACAGACAAATTACGGAAAGCGTCAGCGGCCTCGTTCTTGTATTGCACTTTAGATATCCAGGCTCCCCTCCCCGCCTTCATCGCACAACTACAGCAGTAACGTTCTACGTCCAGTGCTTGCAAGCCTTCAATAGGCATCATCAACTGACTGAGTATTAGATGTTTCGCCATATGCCTGAAGTCCTGCGTCCAGTACTATCGAACTTTTTTTCTTTCTTTTCTTTCTATTTCTCTCTTTTCGTCTCTCAATCCCCTTCCCTCGGTGTAGGGTAGCAAACCGGACGCTCGCCTGGTTGACCTTTCTGCCTTTCCTTCCTCTACCTCCTCCTCTTCCATATATATATATATATATATATATATATATATATATATATATATATATATATATATATATATATATATATATATATATATATATATATGTCATATCTTCCCCTACAGCAGGGGTCTCAAGTACGTGGCCTGCTGTCGCGTCAAGAAAAATTCTAACAGCGCGGTGGAAAAAACAAAAAACAACATGAATGCACGAAAAAAGCTGACAGGAACAAGTGCCATGATTGTCCGAGTCAGATCTCTTTTCGTCCGTTCGTGTTCCTTCCCCCCGCGCTGTCGAAGTTTTCTTGACGACGAACTACCAACTTGTCCAAACACTCGCGTTACTCTGTCGTCGTGACGTAGCAAACCCTAACTCATGAATACGAACAGAAACGCTATCATTTCAGCGTGTTACGAAATCTAAATCACCATTTCTGTAATATTGAATGTTTCGTGCACTACCATAAAGTGAGACTGGTTTGCTTTCCAAGTGTGAGTCTGTTTAAGACGAAAACAAGCCACTGTTTTATTATAACAGTTTCGTTTTGTTGCTATTATTGTTTTTTAAATATAGCGTGGAAACAATACCTGTGGTCAACTGAAATAGCGTGAGTCTAACTTTAAATGTTCCTAGCTCGCACACAAGCATTTTTAATGGATGTTGAAATACTTTTGTTAAGCGAACAAGTTCTAGCTGAGAAGTTGCAAATTTAGCTGTTAAAACAAGAAAAAAAAAAACACCCACAAAACCGCGGTTCGCCTGTGGTTTCCGTTCGTGTCGTCATATTTTTTACGCAAATGTACCTACTAGACTTTTAGTGGGGCCTTTCGAATTTTCGCCCGAAAACAGTCTACACAACCGTAATAATAAAATAATTATAGTACCACGTGTATTTAGTGCTTTATTTTGATGTATTCTGGTTGCACTCACGAAAGACTGCTAGTAAGGGTGTGCGAATACTTGAACGTCTCGAATGACAATTTGAATGGCGTTCTATTCGATTGGGTACTCGAATTGAATGGTGAATATTGGAAGTTTTTGGAGGAACGAGACTTCGCAACAGCAGAGGATAACTTTTCTTGTTTCCACCATCTAATTGTCTTAATGAATGCTGTCCATTTATTGACGCTGTGTTTATCATGGGATGAAGGCGTGTCTATTCAAAACTCCCGTGTCGACGATGCGATAGTGTCACTAGTCTACTAATCTTCACCGTGGTATTTATTGTAATATTAGCTTATGAAGATACTAGCTTGTGAAGACACCACTTTATGAAAGTGGTGTTATGAATGCGGTAGTCACTGATATATCTTTCAGCCAGCAGTTACAATACAATCCCAAGGCTCTCATTGGTGCTGTATGCGAGCTTGCCTCAGTTTGAATTACTGTGGTTTTCTTTGTGGGTAATAATCGTAATGTTCCTTTGTTAGAACTTGTGAATATTTGTGTGAAATAAAGTTTTATGGAACTTTTCGGGTGTATTGGAAAACATCTTACCAGTCTGAGGCTGCTTTGAAAATGGTTGGCTTACTATTTCAAAACTATTCGAACACTTTTCGATTCTCATTCGTATTTGATTCTGTTCCGAAATTCACGATTCGCACACCCCCTAACTGTTAACAAAGCTCGGCGCAGATCGTGCGGCAACGCTTGAAAAGCTTCGCGATTGGTCAAGATCATTTTGCGAAGATAATACGCGCAAGACGCGAATTGTCAAGTTTGTTAGATGGCTTACGCGAGAACCAGCGATAAAACTCGAATGTTCCGTGTCGCACGTATAAATGCCGGTATTCCTCATCGCAGAGCAGGTTAATCAACGGCCGACTCTCTGTTCGCTGCTATATGTAATGAGTGTACAGTGTATTGCTGAACTTTGACTTCTCATTTCTCGGGCCCAAATAAAAGAGTCTCGCTTTGAACATGATCACTGTTGCCTTTTTCAACGTCATGACCCCGCGACAATGTTAGACACGCATAAAGAAGTATTATGTGATCGAAACGAAAGAACGAAATTCTACAAGGCATCCACGCGAACTCTCTTTGGGTGAGACAGCGATAATCGCAAAGTGCCTTCTTATTTATTTATTTTTCTTTTTTACGGTGTGACCGGTCGTCTGCTGATGTTTTCGACACTTCCACTTATAGCTTTACGTTCGGGCGGGAGGAGAGTAAGTGAGGAGGAGAGGGAGAGGAGGGTTTACGCTGTCGGACCTTCCAGGTCTGACTGCGTAAACTTTTTTTGTGCTCAGGGTTATGGCTATGCAGGTTCTATTTGTACTTATTCTTTTACAGAATGACGACCAAGGGCACTTGATATTGCATTCAAACAACCGTTTACTCCCCATTTTTACCACCAGAAATTCGGGGACAAACAGCAGGCCGTTATGAATTCAACTTCATCGCTTCATTCTAATTTTTTAATCCATGGCGGAACTTTTTCTTTCGGGGAAAAGTGGGGAGGGGGAAGATGACACTTGGCCCCTCCTGCGGAGAGCTTTGCCCACGCGTATACGCTCCCAGTCCAAACCCGCGCGTCTCCAGCCCGCGTTGTCGATTGTATACGATGACGACGGTTCAGTCAACTGCGGCGAGAGTGTGTTGCATGCGAAGATTCCCTGCTCGTGTCGTGTGTGTCGGTCTGGTCTCGCGCGGGCTTGTCGACTGGCAGTGTACGAACAGATCGCGTGACGCACGCCTTCGTTGTGCACCGCGCGTGTTTGTTACTGAACGGTGCGCGCGTCTCTCGCTCGCTGTGTCGCAGGTGCCACCGGCGGGGTCAAGGCGGTGCCTCTCGGCGACATGGAGAAGAACGGCCAGGTCAAAGTTCACGGTGAGTCGCACGGCCACTTCAAATCGACGTGATGTTTTGGCTTGGAAAAGGAAATATAGTAAACTCTCAAAACCAGACTCTAATGTCCGTGAGCTAGAGGCCCGTGTTGTACTCCGATTTAGGTGCACGTTGAAAGGACTTTAAAGTGGAACATTAAATCAGTTTATGCAGACAAATTATTCCTTCAGAACTGAATTGTCATAACTTTCACTATCATGAAATAAAGGTTAAAGTTGCGTTTTAAGTTTAAACTTCGCGCCGATACTTCAACCCATTAACGTCATTGTGAGTTAGAAGTGTGGCAGCTTGGGCTAGTTGGTAAGACATGACGATAGTTATAGCGCGAGAACAAAACGATGACACAGAGATGTCTTTCGTGTCCTTCTTGTCTCTGTGTCGTCGTTTTGTTCTCGCGCTATAACTATCGTCATTGTGAGGTCACGAATTTGAACGTACCCGTTTGCGCATTTTGGCCCTGTTAGTTCAACTTTTCTGAAACTTGCTGTTTTAAATGTCGGCGTTCCTTGTGACAAATGTAAATAATTTTTCGTGATGTTACAATTACGTAGCCCGCCGCAGACGCCCTAAAAAATCTGCGGCGTCACGGCTTCTGGTGTGGGAACTTCAAGGTAGTCTGACCACCTGTATTGTCCGGACATTTCGCGCGAAAAATCCTATCCTGGCCAAGACCACCACTGGTGGCCGAAATTCGTGGAGCCTTCCGCTAAGACGTGGCCCGTCATCACAACGCGTAAAGCCCCACGAGTGATCGTACTATCATTACGTTTGCTCGCCTCACTTTACTCAAGGATTAAATCGTTGCCAACCACAGCTGAACTGTCTTTCCTAAGAGTGTACTGCTTGGCTAAAGAAGCGGTGCAGGTGAAATTTCCAGACTATATTCACAAAGAGCTCTTAAACTGATTGTTACAGAAAACGAGGGCCGATCCTCGTTAATATAGCGCATGCTTCCAGCGCTTTAAAAGAGCTCCTACGAACGAAATGCTTTGTGTTGTCTGTATCAACATTCTGGAGTATCACCGAGCACCGTGAAGTGCGGCGCGGGTTGTAAGTGTTCGTGCCAACGAGATAAGAGTTGAGGGCTGGCCCTCTTGTGCACTATACTTATTCTTCTGCAAAGCTTCCACTTCAATCAACGCTCCGCCAATGGTGATAAGCGGACGACAAACGAGGATCACCTCCCCTGGTTCCCCGCATGCCCTTGTTAAGTAAGGAGGTGCAGGAGTAAATGGTAATACAAGAAAACGAGTTGGGGCCACATTTTCCGCAGTTATTCAGGGAACACGCCCGCCTCTGCTTTACATGAAAGAATATATACAGGGCAGCGCTCTCAAGCTCACTTCACCCCAGCGAGCCGCAGTCGGTAAATGCAGTGCCGCGAGGTATACGGGGGGCCAAGGAAGTTCCAAGCTAACTAGAATGGCTGTCTATAACAAGATAGCTAACGTTGTCATCCGAAATGAATGGAAGCTTTTGTCATATCTCATATATGGGCTATTTTTCTGAAGGGTATTGATTGATTAATGAATACTAGCACTCACATAGGGCTTTAACAGGATGGATGTATGTTTGTTTAATGTACAAATTGGCAGATAAATAATAAAAGAGATCACGCTTTCAAGACAACGGTTCGCAATAAACAGAAATAAAAGCATATAATTAAGACAGCGCTACGTTAAAGATGATCACTACTGGAGAATAATCGTTATAGCAGTGACTGAATTAAACGAGCATGTGCACGTGCCCGTATGAAGCCTCAGACACTCACTGTTTGCGCTGCGCATCAAGAAGTTTAAAGATGATTGTGAAACAACTAGCTTAGTTTGTAAGGTTATTGCATTCGGTAACATTAGGGAAAAACAAATATTTAAGTGTGTTATTTAAATGTTTAAATGAGAATTCTTCTTACTTGGAGTAAGGATTCGAGAAACATCGATAGCAGTGAGCAGAATCGCAAATCTTGACACCGGTTCTCAAATATATCGATAGAGCTTTTTGTACAACGGTTTTGTTTCCATGTGTGGTGGCCACGTGGGCCGTCCGTGTGTTCGAAACCCTTGGAGTAAGGGAATTCAGAGAAACTAAGGGGAATGAGTGCGGTGACAGAATCAACGTGGATCGGGCATCCGAACGCGTCTGCGGCCTCCGTCGACCAAGCTAAAGAGCTTCGATGACACCATCCTATTCGTGCGCTCCATTACACGAAAAGGACCCTCCTGGATCTCAAGGTCGCGCGACAGTTAGCTTGGACGGAGCGCGTGGATTTCCTACACTGAGGTGCTTGAGCCCAGCACTGTATAGATGCATAGTAAACGTTCCAGAGGATGCTATCTGGAAGGTTCAAGACCAACGGTGTATATGAAAGGCAAGCATGCTGTTATTAAGGCGAAACCAAACTGAATTAAATCGGTTCCATTTAAAAGAGAACGATAAATCCTAGACAGTTGACTTAGATAATCGCTCTGTAACGTGGAAATGATGCAAGACAATGGAAAAAAGCAACTGGCTGCTACATATTGAAGCTCTACTTGAACCATGAGTTGCGATACGTCGGCGTCCATTGACACGTCCGCATTCTTGATTCGATGTTATCACCTTTGCGTGCTGGTGCCAGCCGCAGGGGGCAAGCGGTTACGCCGTGGACATCACCAGCTATGCGGAAGTTTCCGGAGGGCAAAAGGCGCGCTCTATCTGAACGCGCGATACGCAAATCAGGCGACGCGTAGACGCGTGGCAAGGCGCGGCGCCGTGAGTCCCGGGACAAACAGCTCACGAATTGGCTGCAGGACAACGACAGACGTCGGGTCGACTGCCACGCCGTGTCTATTCGTGCGACGCCGCGGGCCCCAGTGGTCGACGCGTGTGGACACTGGGCACACATTACGAGACTGCGGGCCAGTGTATACGAGCGCGGCTTTGTAGTGATGCGGTGGCGTTGGCTCGGCGCCGTTGATTATCGGCCAGCCGGCGACAGGCTGGAGCACGGACTGCGGGCACTGTGGCGACGCCCTCTCATAGGCGAAAGCGACAGCGCGATTGCCTGGTCTTCCGGAGATAGAGAACACACGAGCGACAGTTGTACTTTTCAAAGATTCAGAGCACCGCGGTGGAAAATTTCTGGGAGTCGCGCGCGCGCCCGCTCTGTGCCGTAAATCGGACAAGGTGTCTTTCCGGGTGCTCCTGTAACGGGCGGTTCGGCGTCACTTCTTTTTTTTTTTTTTCTGTTTGGCGAGCAGCTATCCTTACTGCGTCAAGTTCGCTGCCAAGAAACATAAACAGCAACGTCTGCACTTCCTTTTGAGTCATATTTTCTTAAAGTCTGTTTATATTTCGTGATCTCGGTGTAGTACGCCTGCACATATTTGTGTATCTCGCCGTCGATGGCATCGGTTGTCTGCGCTCGAAGGAAACCTGGAATCGCGGTGGTCCAGTACTGCCCGGGCAACGGATCGGCGGCAACATTCTCTCCATATGCCTCCCAACACTGATGCCATGCGAACGCCTTGCAAGTCGCTGGTCGGTGTGCGACGGGATTTCGAAGTAATCCTCATCCACTGCCACGTACTGCTCGGACAACGGATCGGCGTCGGCGTTTCACAGAAAGGTGCGTGCACATGTTGATTGATATGTGGGGTTTAACGTCCCGAAACCACCACATGATTATGAGAGACGCCGTAGTGGGGGGCTCCGGAAATTTCGACCACCTGAGGTTCTTTAACGTGCACCCAAACCTGAGCACGCGGGCCTACAACATTTCCGCCTCCATCGGAAATGCAGCCGCCGCAGCCGGGATACGATCCCGCGACCTGCGGGTCAGCAGCCGAGTACCTTAGCCACTGGACCACCGCGGCGGGGTAATGCGTGCACTGGAGACGCAGTGCTTCCGTGTGACGCACGATAAGTCGTGGCCGAATGAATGCGGGGCAATGCAACCCTCGCGCGGATAGTTAAAAGAGTGGCAGGGTGTGCTCACGGCTTCTTTGCCGTCCTTGATGCCGCAGGCGGCGCCGATGATGGTTCGGCCGCGTCCTCGCCCCTCTCGCCGGTGGCGGCCAGCAGCGGTGCCGCCTCGTCCACCGACATGGGGGACATGATGACGCGCGTGTACGCCTGGCGGTTCGTGCAGCTGACCCTGTTCATCCTCTACTCCATGACGAACGCCTTCCAGTGGATAGAGTACTCCATCATCACCAACCTTGTCATGGTACGTGTGAAAGAACTGCAATTGCTTGATTAAATGCAAGCGCCGCGCACTGCGTTCTCCGTTCGATCCAGAAAGAATTTGCATATAGACGTGTCTCGTACAACCACATTTGCTCATTTTCGTGACATCTAGCATATTTAGTGTGTTTCAAATAGTTAGTGCACCTGGTCATTCACATGCCTGTGCACTGGTTTTTAGTGTAATACGTAAACATCCCGGAAAATTTCACTGAAGAGTTTGACATCACTGTTAAGTAAAAAGTGGTAATTTGAGTAGGGACGATGAAACTTTAGTTTTTGATATGTGTGAACCTATATTAGCACAGAAAAAGTACTTATGGTTTAAAACAAGACCTGCTTACAGAACTACTCTCTTACCCAGGTGATTGACAAGTGCCTTGCCTTTGCAGGTGGAGCTTGTATTTATTCCTAGGTTGTGACTGACTGTATAATCATATTTCGGGTTCACTCTTAGAGTCGAGCACTTCACGTTACTTGATTATGCATGTGATTTAATGCTTCCTTTACAATTCAAAGATTTGCGAAAATGGCATTGCTGCAACTATGTAGTAACCAATAGTTGGACAGCAGATCTTTTTGGTATTGTACTTGGGATCATCACTAATGAAAATAATATTGGAAAGTCACACTGGTGACACCTTGCACAGATCCAGTATGGCGTCTGGATCATTGGCAGGCACCCCTTTTGAAGTTTGTGTGCATGGTACTGATGTAGTTCTCCTTTCTAAATTTTGCTCTGTTGTTAGAGTGCTCAATCGCCCACAAACAAATGTTTTGTCGTAATTATTGGCTATCAGTACCCATGCAGTCATCGTCACCATGAAACTAGCCGCTATATTTGTGGGCCCATTACTTGTACCTATTTGCACTTGTTGCACTTGCAAGTAAGATGTCCCTTCCAAGAAATGGGTTGACAGCTAGGCTGTGTGAACTTATGTTTCATGCAGAAATACTACAACATAGATGAGCTCACGGTGAACTGGACAGCAGTGGTGTACATGGTGACCTACATACCCCTCATCTTCCCTGCTTCCTGGCTGCTTGAACGACGAGGTCTTCGATTTGTTGTTATCCTAGGAGCACTGGGGACTTGCGCTGGCTCATGGATCAAGGTCTGGCTTCAACTTGCCTTTTGGATTTGCTTGATTTAATGTGGCGAGCTTTTAATTGTTAATTTAGTTTTACTGATTCTTATATTAGCAAACGATTGTCTCCCCTGGGATGGAAGTCCTGGGAAAAACAAAAAGTGAATGTTTGAAATTTTTTATATATGTGTAATTTCTTTTTTAGCTGAACTGTCCTTTGGAAAAGTTGCAGACATGTTGATTAATGACAAACTTTTTCAAGACACTGGCATAGGTTTTTTTTTAAGCATTGTCTGCTTATAGATACATTCATTTAAAAATACCATATATTATGCACCCTGATGCATTAAGACAGTGCAGTTTGACACAGCATCATTAATCATGTGGCAACATTCCAGTAGCTTGCCCAGTTTCCCTTGCCACTTGCATAATGGCGTAATGCCCACAATCCTTTACTTAAGCAATGTCTAATTAGCATTAACTACACGATTGGGTGCTACATAATCTTGTGCATACTTGAGCTTTGAAAGCTCAGAAGAAGAAAAAAGACTAATGTTAAAACGATGACACCTCAGTTCCTCCATTGTTGGTACACCTCTGTATTGAAGATGACATCCACAAACTTCTGTGGCTTGCAATAGACCTGCCTCTCCTTGTTTGCAAAAAGTGCGACGTCGCTGCGAGCAAACAGGGCAAACCATCTTTTCCCTCAGAGCAGGTCCTGGTTCGCAAGAAGTTCCGCTGGCAGGATCTTACTGCATAGCAGCGTGGCGTGTGTCGACATTCCTTCGACATAAATTTCTGTGAATTGCTATTTTCTAAAGTCCCAGCTTTTAAATGGAAGGGTCGTTGCCTATAATGCACGATTCTGTTAGGTTAACGTGGGGTGGTTTGCTCGTCGTAGATAGCAGCCATAAAAAAAAGAAAATCTTAGCCTCTTCGACGTTTACGGTGGCTGGTGCTTTGAGAAATATTTGCATGGCATGGTTGTGAACGTACTCCATTTCTGAGGCGACATGTGCACTGCAGTTTTAAATGTGGTATAGCACTGACGGCAGCTTGATATTGAGCTGTTGTGCGTGTGGTCACGGAGGAGGCTCTCACTTGGCGAGACTCTCGCTATGCGAAAACTTTTAATCTGAGATGAATGAAAAAATACAAATAAAAAATAAACACATTTGCCTTGCGTTAGGCTGAGGTTAGCGAATTCCCGTAAAATTTAAGGAAAAGTTCTCTCCTCCAGCATTCCTCAGGACCCACTGAATGTATGCGATTTATACAGATGATCTCGTGCGCAGTTACCTCGCTGAATCAGATGCCTACAACATTATACACTACTTGTAATTGGCACTGACACTTCATAAAGATTAAGAAAGAGGCGAAGAGAAAGGCTGGGAGGTTAAGCAGATATTACATCCAGTTCGATACCGTGCATAAAGATCGAGCAGTAAAGGTAACAAGTGCAGTTAAATCTGCCTATAACAAACCTCCATATAACGAATTTCTTGATATTACGAAGTTTTCTATTGCCCGCCGTTACTCCACAGAAACCTATGTATTTGCGACCTCTATGTAATAAAGTAATAGCGGGAGGCATCCTAGATATAACGAATTTCAACCATGGACAATCTAGGAATCCTGCCTCGGATTTTGTTATTTTGGCACGCGCATGCATTTTCCGCGGTTCCCCCGCTGCCGAAGAAGTGCGTAGCTACGGCGGCGCGCACAGCGCGGTCGTGGCCCCGGTGGCTTCCAAGCGAGAGCGAGCGCTCGTTATTGTGCACGGTCGCGAGGCCGGCAGGCCCGTTGCCGCCGTTCTTGCCGTCGCGGGAGCATGCGCAGATGTGCCCTCCCCCTCCCTCAAACTTACAAACGAAAAAAAGAATACTTGCGTTGGCAGAACCGATTGCTGCAGAAGTGTAAACTGCTCCAAGTGACACAGGTGATGCCACTTTTCGTTGTTACGCTTTTAGTTAGTGTTGCATAGCCGCGCTGCATATGGAGAGCGTTTTACCGAGTAGTCTTCCACGGTAGCCAAGTCGTTCGCTCTTCGTTTTCGGCGCCGTGCGTGGTTTCACTGCACGCGCAGGAATGGCGCGATGACGTTCAGCCTTGCTCTTTTTTATTGCGATAGCAATTATATGGACACTCTCGGCTGGATTTTATTGCCGGTATCGACATCGCTCACCGTGCATGAATACGTATCTACATATGTGAAAATGCAAGAAAGAAAAATAATCCAGAAAACGACTCCGGCGCGCAGAATCAAACGTGGGACCTCTGAAGCGTGAGGCTTTAACCCCTGAGCTACGAAGGGGCACCTCCTTCCACGTTCAAACAGCAAGCTGTTTATATCAACCACTTACCGCTTTTGACGGTCATCTCGGGAAGGAGGGTGGGGCTATTGTGTTTTCAGCATTACCAACAAAATGGCACTATGAGCGCGCGTCGCCACATCGTCACAGCGGGGCGACGGGTGCTCTCATCTTCCACACGTACTTTGTCCCGTGGAGAGGAGGGGGGGGGGGGGGTCGCTCACTCCTGCGTCCTTATATCGTGGTGGGCTTTCAAGGGAACAATTCTGTTGTGGTTACCGGGTGCACAAAGGTCATGTGGCTAGTGGCTATTGAAACACTTCATTTTAGCAATGGTAAATGTGCATGCAGGTACTGAGCGTGGAGCGGGACCGATTTGTGGTGTGTCTCGTGGGCCAGACTGTCGTGGCAGTGTCGCAAATCTTCATCCTGAGCATCCCGCCACGCCTTGCCGCCGTCTGGTTCAGTGCGCAGGAGGTTTCCCGGGCATGCTCTCTCGGAGTCTTTGGGAATCAGGTACCTTTTACCTTTCTTTTCCCAGAACAAAAATGTCAAACTGCGTTTGAGTGCTTTTAGTAGTTTTTAGATGCGGAGCAGTTCTTTGACTAGTCTGTGTAACACTGTCTCTCCGTCCGCACCGCTCCCCTCGCCACAGGTGTTGGAGCGGGGCCAAGTAGCTTCGCCCTCCTAGCAGTGCTTGGTGACGTCTCTCTGCCTCGCCTGCCACGCGCTCACCACGTGTCGGCTCTCTCTCGCTTCACTCTCTCTGCGGCTGACAACGCCCGACCCCACTCTTTAAGTAGGCATCATCTCACCCGCGCTACCTCGCTCCATCTGTCGGTGAGAAGAAGCCGTTCGCAGTGGGTTTGCGGCACGCTTCCTGCTAGTGTGCGCGTACCTTTCCCTGCTCTCGCCGGTGTTGCAAATGTTAGCGAACCAATCGAGTTAGTGAATGGCGACGTCAACACCGACGAGGCGCGAGCTACGGAAGCCGAGCGCACGCATCGGCAGTGGAAGACTAGCGACACCGATGAGGTACAAGTCAAGAACATCGATCGCGTGCGAGAATACAGACGGCGCACGGATAACACCGACGAGGTGTGAGTGAAGGAAGCCGAGTGCAAGCGTTTACAACTCGTCCCGCCTCCTGTGTCTTTGTGTTTCGAAAAAAATTTACTCGAGTAAATGTTACACCAGGTTTCGCTTTAAACCGTTCTTCTAGCACCCACGTCGATGCCCGTTTCAGCCAGGTCAACGCCATGCGCACCGCTGATGCTTCGCATCCTATCAGGGTTCCCTTTGGGGAGATGGTTTATAGTTTTTTTGTTCAGTGAGTGGATTCTTTATCAGTGCTTTGCTTAGCATTTCTTGAATGGCCGAATGTCACTGTCTATTATTTAGAAAACAAGTCACCGGATTCAGTGGTACTTCCAATAGCATGAACACTTCCAAAAAATTCTTCAGCTACATGCATTCAAGTTTGTCAATGAACCTGACTGTGTGTAATCCCTAGTTAATCTTTTTTTTACTTCGAAAATTGTATGTTATTATAGTTCCTTTATTTTGGTGGGCCAAGAGGTTCAACTTTGCTTCTAAAAATTTTTGCTGAGCTACAATTGACGAAGTGAAAACACACTAAAACATTTGTTATCTCACCGACGTAGCGGTGTTGTTATGACATTATATTGTATTAGTTCTTACTTTAACAGGTATTCCTGTGATGTTCAACCTATTACCACGAAATTCACACAAAATTGCACTTTGCTGTGTTTGTGCATCTGCTTGCCTGCAACTGCACCCCACTGCCGTCACCACCAGTCTGCACTAGTCAGCCCATGCACTAATGAAAGCAGGTCGGATGATTTCCACTTGTCTTGACAGAATGCAGTACAAGTTGTGAGTTGTTGACTGACAGTGCATGGAAAGGAGAAAGTATGTGTGAAGGTCTAAAGAGAAGCAGAGCGAGAGGGCAAAGGAATGAACTCAACACATCTTCTGTGCACAATTTGTCTCAAACAACTGCATTGCACAGCAGTGGAGTCGGCACATCTTACTGTGCGGCCGTGACTTACTGTAATAATATGTGCATGTGTACACACGCAAAATTTTTTATTCACTATGATTTTCCGTGGGCTCATTACAGTTGGGAATAGCGCTGGGTTTTCTGGTTCCTCCCCAACTGGTAACTGGGTCGCCAGACACTGCTGAAGGCCTGGAGGAGATAGGGCGTGGCTTGACCATCCTGTGCTATGGCGTGGCCATCTTCAGCACTGTTGTGCTTATCGGCATACTATTTGGCAAGTAATCCTTCATTTTTTGCAACAGCAACACTTGTTGCTGTTGTATGGGCTTCACACGCACTCATGCATCTACAAAGGTAATCTCTGGTATCATACACCTAATAAAAAATAAAAAAATGAGCCTTATTTGTGAATAAAATTAGCTGAACATAACTAATAGCAACACAAGAAACAGCCCAGCATTGCGATCATTGCTAAGTAGTTTACTATTTCAAGTCAGCTTTTTTTTATTGTTTACTTACAGGAGGTATGTCAGCTATACATTCTCAAATTCAGGGACTTGAATTGCATATGTATGCAGCTAGTTATCTTTTCTTTCGCTTGAAAACTTTTTCAACATTCATTGAAAACCCGTCATGTACAAAATTAGCTGGCATGAACATATCCATGACAGAAGGAGCGGACACGTGTTTGCTTGGATCAATCACAAGAGGCTTATTGAACAACGAAGGCCGTTAAGCAAAATAGTGTGCTAACCTTGTTCATTTTGAAGTTGTTATGGCCCTCTTGTGTTTGCTATCACCACGGCTCCTTCATAGCAACGCAGTGCGTATACATAGTCTTGTGCGAGACTATCTGTCAAAACGTTCAAATCTGTCAACAAAGGAAGCCACTTTTTTTTTTACACAAACAGTGCTCGTTGTACTAGTGAACCAGATGCTAGCCACTGTACAAGATCGAATGCTTCTGTGAGAATAAATTCCTTTTTTTTTTAAAGGTTTTCGTGACAAACCACCTCGTCCACCAAGCAGGGCGCAAGTGTCCCGGGAACAGGCCGACCCGACAGGGTACTGGCACTCCATGCGGAATCTGCTGCGCAATACAAATTACATGCTGTTGCTGATCACATACGGTCAGTTCTATTTTGAAATCGTGAAAATTTTTTCGTTCTTGTATAGTATTCAAATTAGATAACGCATGGATCCTAGAAAGTCACTTGTGTTTCGTGTATTGATGAGCTCTTGTATTGTTCTCACTGCTTCATATCTGAACACTGAGTCGTATAATATTGTAACAAAGGGGGACATATGATCTTACGAGAACTGAAATGTCGGCAATTTTTCAGCAATTCAGATCGAACAAGTAGCACTAAAGATTGGGACACAAGATGGAACAAGAAGACCTTAGTTTTAGTGCTTGCCTGGCTTTCCTGTTCCTTCTCGGGTCCCTGTCCCTTGCACCTTGTTTCGAATAAGATCGGCCAGAATTTTGATTTGGCAGAGATGACAAATACGTGTATTGGCATTTCGAGGACAAAGAGCGCACTGCCGTTTATTCACAAGTAAAAAAATGTCTTGCCGAGTGTGATGAGAAATGCACTTAGTTGTTGGGTCTCATTATTTTGCCAGTAAAGAAAAGCAATGAAAGTTGAGGTACAATGATCCCGTAAGCAGGAGCATCCGTGCACTAAAATGCAGAGGGTATGTAAGTCCCTGCTTGACATTGTGACTACATAAAAACACATTGCAACATAGAAAATTACATAAAATATCTTTTTATAAAACATGCTAGGAGGCAACTGGCACTGTAACATTTCTTAACCGAACGATAAAAACACCTGCAATTGTTTAAATGATGCTACAACACCATACCATTGACACTTTGCTACCAAAACGTTCTTCCGTAGTTTTACAGCATAATGCAAGCTGATATTTCCAGTTGACTAGTAATGCACCACAGTGTACACAACAAATGGAAATCAGTTTGAATAGATAGAGAACATATCAAGCAACAAGCAATTGCACTAGTGGTAGCATTTCGTGACACTATTGTAAATGGCTACTACTATGTGCTAGAAACATCGCTGTGTTCCTCAATAATGTCCAGTAGGTTGATAAAAGGCGTAATCTGAGATGTGAAATACACGGTGTTGTTGTGAGCAAGTGGCATTCAAGTTTTACTCGGAGATTATCTTTATCAGTCAGACTGTAACATGCAGTCTTTTTATATTTACAAATTGTAGGCATCAACGTGGGAACCTTCTATGCCATATCGACCTTACTCAACCAAGTTTTCCTGACGTACTTCAACGGTCAAGAGACCACTGCTGGCTGGCTGGGATTGTCCCTCGTCATCTCTGGCATGGTCGGATCAGTCCTCTGTGGCTTTGTGCTTGACGAGACGCATCGTTACAAGGAGACCACGCTCGTTGTCTACGTGTTCTCCTTGGCAGGCATGGTGGCCTACACGTATGTGCTGGATACAGCCATGTTGTGGCCTGTGTTCTTGGTCACTTGTTTGCTTGGGTGAGTACCGACAGTTCTAATAAGCTATACAGCTAAAGGAATCCAAGAACAATAAAATCCACTTGAACGAATGTTAACAGCTTATGAGTTCTAGGACCTTTTTTTTAAATCTCCTGTGGAAGAGCCATTGGAACCAATGCTAATGTGTTTCAGATTAACGAAATGAGTCTCCTGCTGAAGTGTGATTGGAACCAATGCTAAGGTGTTTCAGATTAACGAAATGAGTGGCGAGGGCATTCCAGTTCTATGGATGTATTTTGCCACACAATTCAATGTCTCTCATGTTATATGGTTCAGACATTGTCACAAAATTACGGCATATTCACGGGGGGAATGATGATGAATGGGCGCAGCTCCGGAGGGATTCATCGGTAAACTGTGAATCTTCTGTGTAATTCGCCCAGTCGATCATCATGTAAAGACGTGAGAAACGCTGTGTGTGTATATACACAAATCAACTTTTATTTGTTCTTAGACGATGGATGGCTTGCGATGTCTCTTCATTATGACGGCTTCATGGTCTGTGAAATGAAGGGAGAGCGGTTCCTGTATAAGATCTCGCGTCTTTCATCAACTACAAGTACCGCTTTCTAGTTTATAACATCTTGCATCTTTTCATCATCAGCTACAAGTACCACCATCTAGTAAACACTACAAGAACTAAACGAGAGGTGGCTACATACAGGAGACGGTACCGCCATCTAGTGAACACTGCAAGAACTAAACTAGAGGTGGCTACATACAGGGGTCGGTACCGCCATCTAGTGAACACTGCAAGAACTAAACTAGAGGTGGCTACATACAGGCTACAGGGTACGCACAGCCCACGCCCTAAGGAGCTTTGCCCCTAAAAACTGCGTAGAGTCAGCGCTTTAAGCTTTGAGTTCTGTGTCATCTGTGACCCTTGCATTGAGACATGCGCCACTCTGTCTCCATAACAGATTGTAGAGAGAATCCCCTCTACAATCTTTTCTGGTCTCTTTGCAATCTACAAGAATAGGAGGCAGGAGAATTAACCCTTGTAAAAAAAGCATCAAGAAAGTCTGCCAAAGAAGCACTGATGCACTTCGAAAAAGTGAAATTCTTTGCTATTCGGCAGAGTGTTGTGGCCTAGAAGGTTTATAAGAGCTTGGACACAGTGACTCAGCTCATGACCACTGCAGTCCTAAGTGCACAAGTGCAGCAAAAGGTTACTGCATTTTTTAAAACATGCTAAGTGAGTGGAAATTTACATTCAAATAAGCAGTATTACAAGTGTAATGGCTCAAATTTCATTTAAACCATTGATGTTTTCTTCAGTTCTGGATATCAAGTTAAAACATAGCTACTTCAGTTTGGCGAACTTTCACTTTAAAAGACTTTTTTTTTCTGGGGTCCTTCGAAGTTCACTCAAGTGAAGATTTACTGTAATTGCCAAATAACTTCATTAAAAGATTTTGTTGCCTCACGAAACAACTTGTGGAAAAAATTTTTAGAATTTGTCAAGTAGTAGGTGAGATCAGAATTGCAGAAATTCATTGCATGCTTTAAGCACTTTCCCTTTCTTTTCATGCCGGTGAGCGCATTCAGAGCTACACACGAGAGGAGGGGGGGATGTCAAGTTTGTTTGTCAGCATGCGTCATAACCTTAAGCACTTTCTTCTATTTTTCTATTCTTCTATTTTTTTCCTTTGAACTCGTGGCTTATTTTCAGTGTGATTGTGAGTGGGATAGTGCAATTCTATACTGTGATATTTTAACACTACTACTATAGAGTAGAATCTGGAGTATGGTGAACAGATGGCAACACAACCATTTCAGCCAGTCAGAATGCAGTGTATAATGCTGAATGAATGATTTGTACATACAGCGAACAACATTGCTTGCACCACAGCCCCGCAGTAGCTGTATGACTTGTTTGTAACCAAAGCTGTTGGTCTGCATTTGGCAGCATGCATTCCATCTAGCAAAGCATACGAAAAGCACAAAGCTCAGATACAGTGAGCAGCTTGAAAACAGCAAGCTGTAGTTAGCAACATGCATCTCGTGTAGTAAATAAATTGTGAACTCTTTCTTGTTTTTTTTTTTTTTTTCGAGCAGTGACAGTCGGAACTTCAAGGAATTTTAAAAGGTGTTAAAAACTTACTCGTACAGCTTTGTGATCTTCTATGTGTGCGCTGTTCATATTTGTATGCACAGTGAAATTTCTTTCATTTTTCTCACTCTTTTTCTTTTTTTTTTTTCTGTGAACATCTTGTAGTCACTGAGCCCATGTAGTATTTATTCCTCCACTTTGCACAGTGGCCGACCCATGTCAGAATGTCAGGCTTGTGCTGTAAATTTGAGGTTCAGCTGTATTATTTTTCTAATCAAAGCGAACTACAGTCTTCCAAGTGCTATGAACGAGTGGAAACAAACAATTGATAATGTGCGTATATTGTCTAAAACTCATATGTTAAATCGGATGTGCTGATTGTGTTGTTCATGAATGTTGGATGATTTCTGTTATGGGCCACATGCGCATTATTTTGTATTGTTACTTTCTGTTTTTTTTTCTGGACGAAGGGGCCAGTCAAGCTGCAACATGCTTTTTCCCTTTTGTTGCGACTGCGGTTTGCGGCATCGGAGGTCCGGGATCAAGATGTTGAGGCAGGAGGAGGTTGAACTTCGTAGAGAGGGTTTATTTACCTTATTTACATGGAATGGGCTCTCTGGCTTGAAGTTCTACATTGAAAGCTCTACATTAAAAAAAAGCTGTCTATGGAACAAGTTCCGTGAACCACACTAAGCAGCCCGCGAGGGCTGATTAAACACAGTCTTGTCTCCCCAGATCCCTATATCAGGGAATAGGTCCATACGGCACTGTCAAATAACATGTCCCGCAGCACACACGAGTGTCGTCATGCCGGCACCGCCCCCAACAAACACACATACACAAACCAAACATGTGTATGGTCCCGACGATGCTGCCTTCTCCGGCGAATCTTGCTTCCAGCGAGCGGGGGGAAACGTGTTTGTCATCTTGCCGCTCGTGCCAACCACCCAAGCTTTGTCGATTGGCGAATCCCGGCTGCGGCGGCTGCATTTCCGATGGAGGCGGAAATGTTGTAGGCCCATGTGCTCAGATTTGGGTGCACGTTAAAGAACCCATGGTGGTCGAAATTTCTGGAGCCCTCCACTACGGCGTCTCTCATAATCATATAGTGGTTTTGGGACGTTAAACCCCACATATCAATCAATCAATCAATCATTGTCGAACGGCGATCGTGGTCTAGGCGCCTCCGAGGGGCCGTACCTGGATTTGAGCGTCGGTGGCTCATCAGTCAGAGACGCACAGCTTGGTGGTACGACGTCCGTAATGAGCAGAAGCTCGGCATTGTGGCTTTTACCGGGGCACGAAGACGCCACGTGTCTCATCTCTGCACAGATCCGAAGGACAGTGGTGCTCTGTAGAGTAATTTCAGCCACGCAGCGTTCAGTACATGGAAACAGCAGGGCGTCTTGGCGCTGCTCCTTATCTCCACAAAATGAGACGGCTGCCTTTCTTCTGTTCTGGCGGCCGCGGCAAAAGGATGGCCCGCCAAATGCAACACTTTGCAAGAAACCACATTTACAATGTGTTTTCATGCACTTGTCACGAAGTTGAATGACCTCAACTCAACAAACTAATCATTTTTTTCTTTTTTTTTTCGTAACAGCAAATAAGACTATTTGTAATAACTCCGATGCATTGAATTATGCAGATTCTTCATGACAGGCTACCTTCCACTGGGATTTGAGTTTGCAGCTGAAGTAACCTTCCCCGAGCCGGAGGGCACATCATCGGGCCTGCTCAATGCTTCTGCACAGGTCTTTGGCATACTCTTTACCGTGGCTGCTGGCAAAATGCTTGTCGTGTATGGTGATCGCACCACGAACTTGGCACTTTCGGGGGCTCTACTTGTTGGTTCGATACTCACGGGTAAGTGCGTTTTGAGTGCTACACAACTTGTGTGCTGAAGAGATGCTTGAGCCTTTGGCTATACTCTGCAACAACTTTCTGTGGCAATGAAGGGAAGGCTACGGAACGAAAATGGGCGTATGTCACCCCTGAAGAATATAATCCCACAAATGCGTCTGTCTTTTCTGTGTGAAGATAGTAAAAGAAAACATTACTTTATTTTTTACGGAAAGCTGTTTATAAAGAGATGCTGCACGAACCAAGGAGATAATAATATTTATTTTTCTTCGTGAAGTGTCGTTTTGCGTTCCTGCACGCCTGAAAACGCCGCATGTTTTAAATGCACCTCACAGTCAAAATGTGCTCTTCGTGTATAGGGGAGTGCGTGTCGCCCTCTTGCTATTCCAGTGACTTGCGGAAGGAGCTTGCGACGAATTTCACTCAAAAATAGCTGTGTAAGCAGGCGCAGCAAATTCTATGCAGTGGCATTATGTGAATAAGGCCGGCATTCGAAAAGTGAATCGAGCGGGACTTCTTTGCGGAGGATAAATGTGCTCTAACTCCGCCCCCATAGCTTTCCCTTCACTGCCACAGAAAGTTGTCCCTAATTATAGCGCCTCACCTGTTTAGCTACTCATTGAACTAAAGCTAGACTAGAGCTGATGTACAGGGTCGTCCACTCTTAGTACGAACACCGCGCCGCGTGGCTGCGCTCCGCGGGGCGCCAGCGCTAGCGGTGCGGCCGCGCATCGAAGCTTATCGGCACAGGCGCACAAGAGCTTGGAGGCGGGGCTTCGTTTCGATTAAAAGCGCGGGAGCGCGCCGCGCCTGTTTTGCCGTGAAGCAAACTTAATGCACCTGAGAAACCACAAAGCGTTGCCGGAAAGCGGGCTTCGCTCAGCGCAACGTGTTGACAGTATTTGAGAAGTGAGCGGTCCCTCTTGTTTAAGTACCATAATACTTGTTTAATGTATACATTGTTGCAAACTCTAGAGTATTGGTTTTGCTTGGTTTGTAGTGCTTAAGTCAGTGAAAGAATTTTGGCACTGAGTGGTGCTCTGAGAAGTTCCGACTACCGAGAACTATTTAACGTGCACTGAAATTACGTGCGCACGGGTATTTCTGCATTTCTCCCGCATTTAAACACGGCACATGCTGCCGCGGTCGAACTTGTGTCTGCCGACTAATTTTAGCTGAGCTCTCGACGACTAAGCCTCCGCAGCGGGGCTTTCTGACGGCTCTGCACACTCTGCAAGTATCGAGATTCACGGGTCTAAAACATTGGCTTTGCGTGCTTGTTCTGAAGTATCGGAATGCTCTACAGCTTTACAAGTGTAAAGAAGTTTGCAGACATGGGCAGTTGGACACGAAGTTTATTGCTTGTGCGCTACGTGTCCCAAAGTTCGCAACTATCAGTAGCGGGTAGGTTCCCCTCCAGCTCCAATAACCGCATTAATTCTATTGGGGAGGCTGCTGTATAGGGACCGACAAATGTTGGTGTCGGCCCTGATTCGCTCCCACTCCTCTTGAACAATGGCCCAAAGCACGTCCGCTGAGACGGCACGGAGTTGTCGGTGCGCCAGCGCAAGCTTCATGTTCCCCCACACATTTTCAATAATATTTAAGTCAGGCGACTGTGGAGGCCACTCAAGAACTGCCACGTCGCGACGCTCTAAATATGCAGCAACTTTCTTTGATTTATGAATGGGGGAGTTGTCATGCTGCAGGATGAAATCGTTCTCTGGGAATGGTCCCCCAACGAGATATGGGAGCAGTACGTCGTCCAAGAGCCCGCAGTAGGCATCTGCCGTGAAGCGACCTTCAATTCTGACAAGGGGTCCCAGCCCTTGAGCGGTTACGGCGCCCCAAACGCTCACTGCCGAACGACCGCTGGCTGCCACTCGTTGCATGTATTCCGGCATATACCTGCAAAAAATCAACATAAGTTATTAGCGTCTGAATCAAATCCGAAGGACATGAATTATGTTCTAGGTGGTTCACTCTTGTAGCTGTTGGATATACAGCCGCCCATTTTTTTATCCTGAACGCGCGAACGTCGACCGCCCAGTCGATAAGCGCCGTTTAACGAAGCACATCGGCAAAATAAACGAGAATACGTGCATCCCTGCGATGAACAGTCCTGTGCAGCTGACTTCTGCTAGGCTGTTTCGGGAACCGCACACCAGGACGCCCGAAACATGCGCTTACAGACTCGATGGTCGATGCTCGCGCATTCAGGTTAAAAAATTGGCGGCTGTACTACATTGACGGGACCAAACAAGTTTTCACTTGATGACGTCATACAAAATATGGCAAACGGCGCCGTATTTTTCTCACCTCACATCGCAACATAGATGACAATTTATAACATACCCCTAGACTCTGGCAGAACGTCTTTTCTAAGTATCGCACAGTGCGAGTAAATTGTTTCTTTCATATCTACTATTTTATTGGAGCAAATACTCTCTATTCTATTACATCCAGTATCTTCTGGCCAAAGTTTGCCTGAACATGGCTTAAACTAAATTTAAACTTTTGGACTGGCATTATTATCAGCTGATCATATCTGTCCGCTGAAACAGAAGTATTCTCATTATTATTATTATTATTATTATTATTATTATTATTATTATTATTATTATTATTACTTTCGCTTATATGAACACATTTATCGTAAGGGCAATATTTCCTGAATCTAAAAGGTATTGTGGTAGTTATTATGCAGAGAATGCAGTGACGGCAGGCAATGCGGCATTTGTCTTCTTTGAAGTAGTTTCATAACGGTTTCGGGCCACCAAAACACGTTCTGGAATACGGGAACTTAAGTAAGTGTTACCTACCGGCAGTTTTGGGGCCGCCAAACCCGCTGCCGCTGGTCCCACCTTGTCGTAAACGAAGATTCATCAGTGAAGACGACCTTCGCCCAGTGTTCCTCGGTCCATTGCAGGTGCTCTGTTGCAAAGTCGAGGCGTTTCTGCTTGTTCACTCCACTTACGATGGGCTTCTGAACTGCCGTTCGAGACTTAAGGCCTGCCGCGTACAGGCGACGTTTCACGGTCGTGTTAGAAACACGCGTCAGCCCTGTACTTTGCTTGATTTCATCAACAGTTGCGCTAGGATTGTCCACAGCTGCTGCCACTATGGCCATGTCCTCATTTTCGGTTGTTACTTGCGGGCGAGGTTTGCGTGGAGCATCCGTAATCTTTCGTTCGTTCCTATACGCCTGGATTATACGGTTAATTGTGGAGAGCGGCCGATTTTTCATTGCAGATATCTGCCTTTGCGTATGGCCTTGCAGGCTCAGGTCCACAATGTCCCTCCTTTCGCTTTCGGGAAGACGCGACATAGCTGCTTGTCAAACGTTCACCGAAAAGTGATGCAGCCTTCCTAGGTCGCAGCCGTTTTTTTACCGAGCGAATGCCATAAAAGAGCAACAAATAGAAAGACCACAGTTCCTAACTGAAATGCTCATAGCGTGATGTTAGGCCAGCCAATCAATATAATCTCAGTAAAACAACGTCTTCTGACTCGAGCGTATACAGCTTTTCATTGGACAGACGGCACAGTTAACTTGAGAATCATGTGCAACCCCGTATCCGTATCGCCAGGAGATAAGAATGTGTGATGCCCATACTACATGAACCCCAACAGGCCCGCTTAGGGTGATCTTGGAAGGCCAGAATGTGACGGCCCAGCGGAACTTTCTGGACGAGTTCATTTACACGTGTACTGACGATCAAGGTGAAAAAAAAGCGAACCAGACACCACAGACGCTAGCGCCGTCCCGTCCATTTCCCTGTTTGTGTTTCTTTGAGCGACTTATGTTTCGATAACGTGCACGTGGGTGAGACGGCAGGCTACTTCAGCAGTGGCCCCAAGAATATTGTAAGTTATTGTCCAAAAATATGCTGAGGTTAAACTTAGGGCGAACTCGCATAAGACACTCCCCGAAGAAAAGACACGACACATACAAGCACTGTGTGTGGCGTGTACGGCTCGTCGGCTGAGTGCACGGAAGGCTGAAATTAAATCAGAAGTATAGGGTACTAAAGTACGAAGGAGGAGGGGAAGAACGTCAAGGCGCTGACGCAGTCCTTGGGATTTTATCACACATTGAAAACTTATAAATTGTTGCGTTCCTTGAGTTTGGCTAGGGGGTAGTAAAGACAAGAATCTGGAAGATGCGACCCTCAAGAAGAAGCTGTTTTCCGACGGTCGGGCATTTAAGTGGTGATCACGGTGTCATTACTCGCGCAGGTATATTGCAGTGAATTACATGTTTAAGCAGAAGGGTGGACACGTATAAAGTGGTGACAAAGAGTGGGGCCCCTGTTTCCCACTAAAAACCTAAATGGACGGAGCAAACGAAGCTATTCGTATAACAATACAGCAGAATAAAAGAGGTGCAATGCAGGCCTCCGCGGAAAGTAAGTGCCAGAATATAAACGCCCCGATGTTACGTGATATTGATACTTTTGAAAAAAGACAAGAGACCTTAAGACCAACGTCGCGGGATGAATATTCAGCTGGTGTTTCGTCATGGACAGAAAATGAAACAGTGCCCGTGCGCACGCAGTTTCAGGGCACGTTAAATATTTCCCGGTAGTCGAAACTTCTCAGAGCACCGCTCAGTGGCGAAATTATTTCGCGGATTTAAACACCGCAAACCAAGCAAAACCACCACTCTAGAGTTTGCAACAATGTATACATTACACTGGTATTATGGTACTTAAACAAGAGGGACCACTCATTTATCAAATACCGTAACTACAAAACACGTTGCGCTGAGCGAAGCCCGCTTTCCGGCAACGCTTTGTGGTTTCTCAGGTGCATTAAGTTTGCTTCACGGCAAAACAGGCGCGGCGCGCTCCCGCGCTTTTAATCGAAACGAAGCCCCGCCTCCAAGCTCTTGTGCGCCTGTGCCGATAAGCTTCGATGCGCAACCGCACCGCTAGCGCTGGCGCCCCGCGGAGCGCAGCCACGCGGCGCGGTGTTCGTACTAAGAGTGGACGACCCTGTACAGTGAAAAATCTGTAACACAAGCCAACTTTACGAATATGCTGCTCTAATAAAATTTCCATTCCTCAGTAGGTACCCAGAAGGCTCGTTGTCAACTGGAATTAACAACTCTTGTGGCCTTAAACTTGATATAACAAAGCAGCTTTTTCAGAAATGAATCGGCGAAAATGTAGTTTGTTTATGTAACATTGACGCATGTGGGCTTTCTTCGTGGTGTGCTCCACAGTGCTCTCACATTAATACATCTAGCTGCTCCAGTCTCGTTCCCAGTATTGGCTGCAGGTCCTTGCAAGGCACGGTGGACTTCACTGACAGACATTAGCGCGCTTTTATGTACCAAATGGCACTAGGAGTGGTGTAGTTCAGTGTCTCTGTAAGTGATATCAGTGGTGTTTTTGTTACGAAATGATTTATGCCACAAATCGGCTCTCAACATCTCTCTGGAGTCTTTCTTACTATGCCTGCCCATAAAATCGCTGCATTCATTCTCCCTGCGCTTGCACGTCAGCAGCTTGTCATGGCTTCATGTGGCCATCTACCTCGTCTGTATCACCCGAACACAGGAGCCTCCATGTGCGAGCTGCCCCCACGGAATTTTCAGATATTCAGGGGTGTGTTAGTGGCAAACGAAATACAGCTGTTACCTTCGTGTGCCGTTACATTGTGGTGTTAGATTCTGTAGGAGTGAAAAGTTCCTTTCACAATTTTACGAACTTCTTGACTGAACTAAATAAATTGAACATGGTCATCACCTCAATAAATCAAGTTTCAACTGTACATGCTACTGTACAAGATGCTCTATATTTTATTGCTTTATTTCTACTGGTTTGCTTTAGATGCAATGCAGAGAGAAAATTTTTTTAATCACACAGGGCATGTTGCAGCTTATTTAGTATAGGTTTTCCATGAACCACTACTGGATAAAACAATCTAACAAAAAACCGGCAAGCTTTTTGATGCAGGAGTAGCAGGTAGGCACAGAAGTTCCTGGGATAATTCCCACTTGGAATGATTTACTGATTTTTTCAAATATGGCTTTATGTTTCTCTTTTCTTTGCCATTTTTTAGGCAGCCTTGTAGATGATGAGGGCAAAAATATAAATATGAAGCTCTGAGCTTTTGAACTACATCAAGATGGTGGCACTCGGTAGCAGGAAAAACTAGACGGATTGGTGAACTTTCATGTGTTTTTGTGATTTTGAGATCTTTTTTTTTTGCCATATTTGGTGACCAGATCATGTTTTCAGGCCAAGTTCATTATCAGCTGCATAGTTAGTAGTCATAAAGCAGAATAGATTAAGCATAAGAGATTATGAAGCAAGTAGCTTCCGAAACATTTTTAGCAATTGTTGCAATCGCCTACGCTAGTGCCGGCAGGGTCGTTAGCACAGTTCTAGCAATATGTCTTGAACTTGTGTGTTTATTACAGAGGTAGGCCTTGTTTCACCTGAGTCTTTCCTTAAAGTAGTGGTCACCATCGGAAGGATTCCTATCAGTCTCTTTTGAAAATCTTCTAATGAAAGAGCCACCACTAGAAAAAAAAGACTGACGAAACTGAAGGAGCATCTCTTGCAACTCTCAGGATGCTTGGTTGCTGGCGTAATTGCAGTGTCTAGTTTATTTAGAGTAATGTACCAACTAGGCCAGCAGCCAAGTTCTGGTTAGTTTTTTAAATTCTCTGTACCTCAAGTTTTTTTCCTGAGAATCTTGCGCCTTATGAAACTTGCCTCCCCAGACCTGTGTCAGTTTTCAGAGAGAAAAAAAAAGTGGGCTCATTATGCAAATAAAAGCAGCATACCTTTGTGTATGTGTCTGGAGCTTGTGGTTGGTCCTTTGCAGCTCTGATTCGCTCCGACTTGCGGAGACGTCATGCCCAGCTGCAGTCTGAACCATCAGCTGTAGTGTCCACATGACTACTGCGACTTGGAGACCTCGATCACATCGGTCTTTTGTAGGCCAGCAAAGCCTCATCTCTTCTATCAACATCTGCAGCGCCGGCGACCAGTGGGGCCATCACGAACTTTCCCTGCTCGTTGTGCAGCTGCAATGACCGGCGTCCTTAAGGCATGCCAGGAGAGCACCCTAAAAGACTGAATCGATTTGTGCCACGATGAATGGTGCTTGGCTAGTCTGCTTCCATAAGCAATGTTACGTCAAAAGAGGAATGACCTTACAAAGATAGTATCGAGGCACAGAACAGGCAGTTTGAGTGCGATGCCAATTGCCTTTCCTGTGCCAACTCTTCTCCTATTGCGAACGTCATTTATTCAAGAGACCTTTGTCCACAATGTGTGAGCATCGAAATATGTGTGGATAGCATGTGCGTATTTTATGTTGTTATAGATCATTTTTAAAGAACTCTGGTTCTATTTAGGCTAGCTGTACCGAGTGGAAGCTCCGGAAGCAAAGCTTTGCTTGCAATTGAGTGTCTGATTGTTGGTAAGCTGTTGTGGTGCATAATCTGAAGTACTTGATGCTTGGGGTGCAGAAAGGCACCCCTACACGAGGAACATTTATGTGATGTACCATCCATCAGCATTCTAAACTGCAGCAGTTTAATGAAGTCGTGGGGCATGGGATGCAAAAATGAGTGATTCTATATGTGCAAGTATATTTTTGAGCATGCTGCTCACTAGAATAGCGCGAACTATATATTAGCTGTAGCTGACGATGCAATTGAGACATCGTTTGTATCTTCCATTTTCCAGTAGCACGTGTAGGACAGATATATATATATCTAGTTAATGCCGTTAAAACTTTAAACATGATCTGTTAATGGTGTGGCTGTGCTCCGCTGTTTGCGGCACCCTAGTTTGAATGCTAACCAATAGGCTTGTGCATGGCCAAAAGGTACATTCAGGGTATTGCAGAACTGTACTTGTCTTTCATATTTACAGCAATTTGTGTTCACTCATTATGTTCTGCATGATCTCTGGTGTCGCTGCGCCGGGTAACGGAGAATGAACAAAACGCTTCAGGTGCTTCCATGACCACGTGCTTTCAGGCAACAGCTGCTATTTGAAGTGCTTCCATTTATGATGCAGCAAGATTTCATGCATTGTACTGTTGGCTTTATATAAATGATTCATGTCATCTGTGTTTATTGCTCTGTGTCTTGAATTAAAGTCTGTTACTGCGAATGTCTCACGCTCAATTAATATAACTCTGAACAGGTCGAAAAATATAGTGTTGAAGATAGGAGAATCTGTTGTGGTCATTTTTTTTATATATGCTGGCAATGTCTTGCATAACACAATTCAAATCCAAATTTGATCTCTTGTTAAGAGTCTACAGCCGAAAAAAGTGTCATGGCTGAACATGGCGCTAAACAAAGTTTGTAGAGCAAAATATGTCAGCTTTGCCTTTGGCAAAGTTTGCATCGTTTGTTTCACTTGTGTAAAGATTTCACTTACGACAGTGCACTTGCGTGGCATTGTCTAATATTGAAAGGTCGCCGCGCCGTCATTCATTCTGCACCAGTGGCACTAGCGGCCCGGACCATCTTCTACTTCCTCCATGCCTGGCTTTGGCGAAGAGCCTGCCAGACTGCCTTTGTAGCAGCAACAACCGCATATACAATAGCACCTGCTCTGAGCGAACGCGCAGTGCCCTTGGATGCAGCCAGTTGCTCTGGCACGAAAAACTGACCCTGAACCACAGGTCGTTTTTGTGAATGCGCCACACTATTGTTTGCTGAAGCTCTCTGGCCAGCGTTGCAATGATCACGCGAGGCGCGTGGAAGAAAGCGGCATGGAAGGAAGCCCATGATCAGTACACCGTGAAAACGTTGGCGCGACCTTTGGCTTCATTGGCGAGAATATTGCGCCAACACGTGGGCTACATTGCTCAGAGATTTTGGGATGACCTTGGCCGACCTTGAAGGTCAGATTTACGGAAGAACCAGCCGCTTTTGTGTCTGGAGTAGTACATCTATCGCTTTCAAGGGGCCTCGCTACGCTTTTTGTAGTAGCCGTGGAAGGGATTCACTAAAAGAGCTAATTGCCTCACGGATTTCAGATTTGGGTGCACGTTAAAGAACCCCAGGTGGTCTAAATTTCCGGAGCCCTCCACTACGGCGTCTCTCATAATCATATAGTGGTTTTGGGACGTTAAACCCCACATATCAATGCCTCACGGATTCACCGCCGCAAAGCTTTTTTTGGGATCCGTCCAGTACGAGAGGAGTAACAAAGATTTGTCGCACGCCGCAGTTGCATTCTCTGTTCTCTCGTCCCGATAAAAGCGCTGGAAGCTAAGCAGGGAGGGATGGCACGGGAAAAGAAAATACGTCACGCGCGCCTCGTGACCTTGAGCACTTTTTTTTTTCTTCTCGAAAACGACTTTTCAGTGCGGTCGTGGACAAGTCGCGGTCTTCCCGCGGCACCATGAGCCAAGCGCGGCATGTTCAAATCAACCGATGGTCGTGACAGGTGTTTTTTGATCTTGTGTCATCATTTATCAAGAGAATAGAAAGGAATTGTTTGCTGACTATGACAATTTGTTGTGCATTCCAGGCCTCGTGCTGCCCTATAATATTTGGCTCGCGTTTTTTTCGGGAGCCTCGACTATACTGATCGGCATATTTTTCTGACGTTGCTCAAGAAGTGTTGTAGGGCCCATTTGAATAAAACTTTGCATGCGCTCTTGGTAACCCATTTTGGCAGTCCTCTAACCCTTTACTTCCGAGTGTCGCGAATTCGCGAGATACTGAAAAACATTTGAGCAAGCAAGTCACAAAGTGCGCGCCGCCTTTAATGCCGGCTGTCAAGTACTCACGGGGAATGTATTTTAGCATGAAAAATCTAGCGCCGCCTCGTCTAAGGTATTTTATGCTAGAAGCAATTATTTTGTAGCTGATGATGCGAAGCGCGTGCAACACTTTCACTTCGTTCTTTTTGGCTTGGGTGACGCAAGTTCTATCTTCAGTAATTTTGTGTATTTAGTGTTTGCGCACCCAAGAGGTGGCACGGGACATGTTAGGCAGTTTTAATGTTAGTTCTTTTTTTTGTTGTTGTTGTTGCTGCAAAGTTCTCGCTTCTGTGGCGTATGGAGAATTCGAAGTACACATAAAATCATGCTTTCAAGTTGCATTCTGTGTGATTTAACTGCGGAATCGTTTAAAGTTTACCTTATAGAGCTTGAAAATGAAAGCATTATTTTTTTTTTGGCTCAGCAGTTTCATAATTCAGGCAATAAATGTCGTAAGCCGTTTTTGTATTGTCTCGCGAAGTATATCCTCAGTAAAAAGCCACCGCGTGCGCTGCCAGCACTTTTCTGAAGAGTGCAAGATGGTTAACTATTGTCACAAGCTGTAGTCATGTTATCCGCTGTGTGCACTAATGATACCAGTGCTGATACCACGATTCGAGGTGTACTACAGCGAGGTATGCTACACTGTTATAGCCGTTGTCGTCAGGGCGTTCGTGTCATAAGAAAAGTAGTTGTTTTTAGTGATGCTGAATTATGCTCGAATGGCCCTCTTTCTCACATGGTAAAACGAAACTATGGACTTGAGCAGCATTTACAAGCGTCTAATTGGAATCGCTCCAGTTATTTTCGTTCCGCTATTATTATGTTCTTCGACCAGCTAACGACTCGCCGTGCGCGTCTTTGTGTAGCAACGGCTTTCGCGTGAGAACACAAGGCTCCCACGTGCAGATCGTGGCATGCGTGTCAGGAACGGCACGATTTACTGAGGGGTTCACTGTTAAAGGGAACACTTTCGTGTGCATAATGCCCGGATTTCGCTCTCTGGCAAAAGCATGGCGGCTTAGACTAGCATCAGACTACATCTGGTTGACTGCTCTGACTTCTTTGATAGACCAGTGCCGTGCACGAACAATTTTGCTACGTCTACCAGCCCTTATGTCGCCTTCAATATGACAGGGGTTCATTAGAGTGTTCCCTTTAACAGTGTACGGTACTGTACATGATGCCGCCTTGGTGCTTTTATGGTCGTTTTGTCAACTGAACATCACCAAAATTGGTGAGCTCTGGCAACACAAGTGACAGGCCCAAACGTGCAGACAGTGGAACGCATGTTATGTACGGCATGATTTACACATAATGGTCTTTCAAAGAATATATGCCAAAATTGGTATGGCGAGACGTCAATGTATGCCGATCGTAAAAGACAGGCGGTAAAAAAATCACGCCTTGCCATGTCATGCAATGGGGGGATTTGTTAGCCGCGCTCGTGGTGCGCTTACGGCCGTTTCGTTAACTGGGTACACACAAGATTCCTATGACATGACTCGTGTGCATTACGATATATACTATAATGTAAGTTTTATTATCAAGTTTCATATAAGATTGGACATGCATGCACGATAAACATGCGATAGGGAACTACGTGGCATCACGCCAATGACTTAATTTGCCTCAAAGACAGACAAGTCGACGTATGCGGCTCCTGTTGGCTGTTTCGCGTTACATCGATTCCCACAGGCACATCGGGATAAAATAAGGCAAATGTTGAGTAATACCAGCATAACACCGCGTTGTAGAGCTTCCGTGCAACCGACGCCTTTGGTCATGTGATGTATGAACGTAGGACGATGCCTATAGGTTACGCGGCTTAAATATTGTAGTTAACGTAAGTTGGCGCGGAGCACGGAGTAACTAAGACCATAAGCACAGTGGCGTAGCCGGGGAGCGGCATACCGTGGGCCCAGTCCTCCCCCCACCCCTCCGTTTTTTTTTTTTTTTTTTTTTGCAATAACATCTTGCAGCGCCCTCGCGATCACGCTGCAAGATGAAGGTACAATGTTAGTCATGTTCATAATTGTTTATTTTGTATCACTGGTGTTGTCTACTCCATACTCCTTTCCAGCTTGCACTGACGTCACGCCTAATAAACCATGCAGGGATACCATTCCGCCATGCTGGCGCAGCGGGCCAGTGGCCGCGGCGGTAAATGTTGGCGGAATGTTCGTCGCGTCGCGATGGTTACCTGTGCTGTTGTTGGTTGTTCCAACCGCTCTTGTTGGGCGAAATCAACGGACACTAACTTTTTTCGTCTCCCAAATACCATCGAGCGACGGGGATTGTGGCTGGCACGGATGAGAAGCGCTGATCTGGACACTGACAGGACAGACATACGTGTTTGTGACGCCCACTTCGTGAAAGGTATGCTTGTTGCACACGCACATTGTTTGTATGGATGCAGAATGTACAGCCACATCGGGACAATTTGTGTCTAAGCTAACTTGCGTTACGTTTGTAGGCAGAACATTGAAACTGTGATCGGAACGAGCAACCGCGCGACAAGCTTGGTCAGTTTGAAGGAGGCTTTTATTGCATGCTCGACCCGACAAATGCATAGGACCCAATTTGTTTTTTGACAACTACGTGGCAAGTGATATGAATCTCTTTCATGCGTTTCTGTATTTTTTTTTCGTGCGTTGAATTGTCAAGCTTCCAAACTAAACAAACCAACAGCTCCTGTCACATGAGATTTTTTTTAAGTTGACTCGTGGGGTTCTTTAACGTGCACCTGAATGTAAGTACACGGATCGAGTGATAAGAAATAGCTGAGAGGATTGCCACACCAAATAACTTGTGCGTTGATTAAATGGTATTTCACCCTGAAAGAGACGATTAAAAAAATAACCTGCTACTTACCTCGCCAAGCAAAAGCACATCATCATCTTGGACCTGTTCAGCCGACATACCCTTGACTAAAGCGCTTGTAAAATAATTATGCGTCTCGGTCGACCTGAACGTCTTCATTTCCTAGAGCGTCAAATAACTATAGCGAAAAAAATGAGATAATTGGTAATGTCTCCGTAACAAAAGACCGGGAAGATGTTCTCGTCGCTTGGAGTGTCCGTTCCCGGTCGCAACGTGGGGGCAGTGATTTTAAATGAAAAGAAAAGTGAGCCCCGTAACTGTCTCTCAGGGGGAGGACACCTCAACAGTAGCTCACGAGGGGTGGGGGTAAAGGAGGGATTAAAAGGTAAAGAGATCGAGAGATAGGAAGCAGAGAGCGAGGCGCAGGGACAGCGAACGACGGAAGTAAGGCGAAGACAGGAAAGATGGACACGGTTGCAGGAGTCCGAGGACAAGGCACCACTGGTGAGAGCTCTTGTCGGCGTCAGGAGATGGCGTAGGGTTAATCCAGGCGGCCAGAGCTATGTATACC